ATCCGAATCCCCTCACCGCGCCAAGGCCGAGAAAGCCGAGGTCTGTTCGAACTCGGTGCGCATGGAGATCGAGGTCGAGGAAGTCGGCCGGGTCGGAACGTGCACGCAGCCTGCAAGGAAGAGCCAAACCGAAACGCAGCACGTCAGAAGCTGTGCCGCGCGGTGTCGCGTCCGGATCAGGCAGTCGCTGTTTTCGGGGAGGCGCCCACGCCCCGCAGCCGGCGTGCCTCCTGGGCTCTCCTCGCCTCGATCTACCACCCGCACAGCACGCGCGCATCGACGTCCGTGCGCGCAAGTGCCCCACTGGAGGAGACGGCGCGATGAAGATGCAGCGCAGCGGACGCACGTCGTCCGCGCCGAGCACCGAACAGAAGCCTCTCCCGCCCGTCGGCGCTCATCGCCCCGGCGAAGCAGCCGTCGACGGCCGCGCCCCCCCCCCCCCCCCCCCCCCCCCGAGGGCCGAGGGGAGCACCGGCAACCGAGAAAGGCGGGGATCGTGGCGCGGTGGCGCGCCTCGTCTTACGCCGTGGCGGCGCACGCGACCGAAACGGCTACATTCACGTGTCCGAACGGGCAGCCCAAAGCACCAAAGCACGCACGCGCCGCCGGGCGGCGTGGGCGCGGATCGTCGACCGTCCTCCGTGCGTGTGTGCGGCGGCGGCGGCTCTGAGCACAGCCGGGCCAGGGTGTGCGGTTCGGGACAGATGAAAGTTGATGGCTGCACGCGCAAACGGGACGTTGCGGTATTGATGCCCCGGGCCGCACCTGGAAGCTCGGTGTTAGCGCTCGTGTGTGGGCCGCCGCGAAGGGCATCGATCAAGCTAAACGCGGCGGAGAAGGCGCGGGGGATCAGGGCGGCTCGTCCGGACGCACAAGTCCGTCCATGGGGAGCGGAAATGCACCCAACTCGGAGCGCCCGTCGCCCGAGCTCCGTCTCCGTGCGCACTTGTCCGCTCGAGCAGCCGCCTATGCCTACGGTGCGTGCGGCCGGACCCTGAACTGGGCGCGCGTGAGGCATGTATCTGGATAGGTCATGTGCGTGCGCCGCCTCCGCCGCACTCGGCGGGCGCAAACGAACGGCGACGTCGGCGTCGGGGAGCGCATGGCTGGGCGTGGTTCGGAGAAAGGGAGCGGGGAGCGTTCCGTCCGAAGCGCATGCTGATCACGATCGAGACCCTCTATGCAGCACCAGCCTAGGACAGAGCAGGCCTAAGGCCAAAGGACGCGGGCCGGAGATGGGGGTCCTGATTGCGCGCGGGTGCACCGAGCTGCAGCTCGTCCGCGGCGGGCTGCGTCACGCACGCGCCGCTGCGGCGTGGCCAGTGCACAACGGACGTGCGGGCTGACGGCGCGTGCGCAGGACGCATCGGATGGGCGATAGAGATCGCGCGCGGACGCGGGTGCCTGTACATCGGAGCGGAGGCCTGGCGGAAGCAGCAGATGGTCGTGGCCGCACTGGTCCTCGCCGCGCGCGTTCGAAGGCACGGGGACGCCAGGATATCTGGAAAGCGGATAGCGTCGAAGGACAGAAGACACGGACGTGGACGCGCGCGCGTCATCGATCGGAAGCCGGCCCACCCGCAGCCTGCAGGCCCCAGCGCACGGCCGCATCCGGGCGCCCGTGCAGGGCCAAGCTTCGAGTTTCTAGGTTCCGAGTACTTGTCTCTGCGCTTTCGAGTCTGCGTCGTGTGTGCGAGGCGTCGGGATGTCGTCGGAGCGAGCTCAATCAAGTACTCACCGGCACCTCTCGCACGTGCGTTCTACCCACACCCAACGTTCAAGCCAAACGCGACGCCGCACCGCACACCGAGCGCACCCCCCCGAGGCATCCCCGGTCGCTTCACATCCCGCGCGCGATTCCCCGGGTGTCTGCGCTGCCCGCGCGCCATCCCCCAGCGCAAACGAGCCGTGCGCGTGGTGGGAAACCGGGGCCACAGCCCGGTTGCCCGGGACGCTCACTGACCTCTGCCGGGTCCACGCGTGCGCCCGCGCGCGCACGGCGACGGCCGAGCGGAAGACCTCGCGAAGCCCGAAGCCCCCCGGAGCTGTCGAGGCGGGAGCGGAGGCACGAGTCGGGCGCGGAGCGCGGCACGGGGCTTCTGGGTCTGCGTCGCGCTCTTCTGGCGGTGGCTCTCCGCCTCGCGTCTGCAAGGTCCGACGGCCAGCGCTGCGCTCCTTGCAAGGACTCGGGGGCCCGCGCTCGAGTCGGCCTCGCGCGGGCTCGGGGTGCATGTGTACATGTATGCCGACCTGCGTCCCGCGGGCGCGCGAGAAGCACTTGGGCGAAGGCGGCGACCCACATAGACGCCGGGCGGGACGCGATCGCGCGCGCGCGCGCAGCCTCCCGACCGCAGCGGTCTCGCTTCCCGTCGAGGACGTTGGAACTTGGACACGCGGCGCTCGGCCGGTGACAGATGGGGGAAGGCGCGCCGCGCGCTGAGCGAAACTGTCAAAGCGGGGGCGCTGGTGCCGTACCGCGTTCCGCCCGAGTCCGAGGCAGGCGCCGTCACTAGACCATGTACGTCGGTGATTTGCGCGTGGAAGGGGCGGAGACGATTTCGGCGGCGGTGTACATGTGTTCGATGCTCGATGAGCGGATGGCGGGATCCCGAGACTGGTGAGACGAGGTGAGGCGAGCCGGGTGACACTGGCACTTACTGGCAGTCCCGGCAGGCTCGGGACGTTGACGTTACCGACTCCCGTGGACGGAGGGAGTCTCGCGCAGGTCTGCTCTGCGCCTGCGATCATTATCGCGATGCACAGGCGCAGGCGCAGGCCCGCGTCAGCAGGTACGTCAGTAGGGCGGCCACACAGTCCACGATAATAGATCCTAATTAAGCACTATCAAGCACCGCGGTCGCACCGTCCGAGTCCACACACTGCGGGCAGATGCCCTATTTCCCACGTGGTGATAGCCATGCTGTAGCCGTGTTATAGGTTTCCTTTGTCTTGAATAGACACATGACTGTTGCACAATGCGACAGTTAGACTTTTGTCTGCCTTGCACATCGCTGCCCCATCGCCGGATAGTCTTCCTTGCACATGACTATACCCTGGCTGTACCCTGACTGTCACCCCACGTGACAGGTAGACTATTGCATGGCTGTCCCGTCGCGCGCGGGGTAAACTGCTGCTTCACTATACCTAGACTACCTATTGCCTCGCGCACAAAGTTGCCTGCCGCTTCGTTATACCTCGAATATTGCCCCGCATGCAAGGTAGATTTCCACTGCGCTATGCTTCGATTATCCCCGCGCGTAGCTATTCTCAGGCCCAGTGACGGCGCTTATGGTTGCGGGTCGGTCCGCGCGCGCTAGCCTCGTCGCCAACGACAGCTCCACCACCTGGCACCATGATGCATGACCTCGGCAAGTCCTTCCCCATCCCCCTCAGTGCTCACGCTTCATCCCATCACTGAGCCATTCTTCGCGCGTGTGCATCGTGAGCACGTGCTGCGTGCGCTGCGGCGGGTGGTGTAGTGGTACGCGTGCCTGGAGGATGTGCTTGATATCTGTAGACTGCTGGATCGACTATACCTGATGGACCGCGGGATACTGTGGAGGCTGCGGTGGTCCCAGGCGGGGAGGGCAAGGAGGACGGCGTCACAGGGTGTTGGGGACACTGCACAGGAGCTCCCGGTGGCGAGTTATTGGGTATATTTGAGGTATAACAAAGCGGCAGGCAACTTTGTGCGCGAGGCAATAGGTAGTCGAGGGATAGCGAAGCAGCAGGCAACCTCGCGCGCGATGCGACAGCCATGTGCTAGTCTACCTATCACATAGGGCGATAGTCGGGGTATAGCCAGGGTATAGCAAGGAAAGCTATCCGGCGGGGGGGGCAGCGATGCGCAAGGCAGACAAAAGTCTAACTGTCGCGTCGCGCAACAGCCATGTGTCCATTCAAGACAAAGGAAACCTATACCACCGCCGCGACATGGCTATCGCCCCGTGGGAAATAGGGCACCTGCCCGCAGTGACAACGCCTCGCAGCGCAAGCGCGCAATCGAGCAAGCCCGGACGGACGCCGGGGCGTCAGCGTTTGGCGTGCTAGAGCCAGGTACTTACACCGGGGGCATGGGCGGATGAAACGGCTGGAAACATTTTAGATTCATGAGTGTGACTTACAGTGTGTCACGCGGAATGTACCTTTCCAGTACATGCAAGTTTCTTTTGCCAAGTTCAGGACGTGTAACACGGAATGGTCCCGTTGGAAACATTGTTGATGTAACGGTGGGAAACATCAGGCATGTCTCATCCTGTGACATGCCGGGACACATCCTTGAGACATGGTCCATGACACAAACATGTCACATGTATGTCTCGGCGTCTTTCATTTATGGAACATTCTCGATACATTTCAAATGTCTCATCGGAGATCCACGGATGGTTCCGTCCGTGAACACACGAGGGACATCAATGAGACATTCAGGATGACGCACGCATGTACCGCGCAAAGTCTCACAAATGTTGCACACCGCCACTACCTACCACTACAACCTAAACTACTACTTCTCCCTACAACCTCTACAAATCCCACTACGACCACGACCACGGCCACCAAACCACGACCATTAAACCTGCAAGCTCTCAAGGGAGCGAGAAGTACGTATGGGTCATAAGGCCAGGAGCGGCAGCTATGCAAATGGTGGATGAATGAACTTCCGAATTGGAGCGAAGACGAGGGGGTACAAGGGGGAAAAGCAAAGAGCAGTGGTCCAGGCAGCCAGGTGGGAAGCCGCTTCGTGCACCGCGAGGCTCGTATGCCTCAGCCGTGTAATTGAGCCCACCGAAATGACAGAGCCACTGAAGATACGGGACGTGGAATGATGCGCAGGTGGAGAATCTCGTTCTGTATTTTGGTGCGCGGACAATCGCGAGAGAGAATTCGCCGGCAGCCTATGTCTGCTTTCGTGCGAAAGCGGCGAACGTGGAGTGCAGGAGCGGGATGATATTCCGAAAGCCTTACTTCGAAGGAGCCGAACGAAAGGCGAACAGGGCGTTCTAGAGCTCGGTGACGCCATGCCATGCGAGGAGATGTGCCGAGTTGAGGCCATAGGAGGATGGTGTACGGGTGAGGTGGACCTGAACGTGTCCGGCGATTTTGACAGGATGTCGTGTAGAAGGATGTAAAGCCTCGCAATCCGGTGGAACTCGTCATGACGATGTTCAGGAGCACTTCCTGGTCCTTATCGGAGGCTACCATGCTCTCGGGCGATTCCGAAGGCGACTGCAGAACGAGGGAAACGGCAGGGGCGATGACTGCAGAGAGCTCAGCAAAGCTGGACAGCGGGATGCTTGCTCTAGAGCACCACAGGACCTCTGTGGCGACGTTGTTCGCAAAGCGATGAACGATTGCGTCGACTCGGAGATGCAATTCGTGGACGATTCGTTCCAGCCGGCGCGGGATGATGCGCGACGCAAACCGCGGGTCCATGAGGCTTGGGCACGTGCCACGAGAGTGTCCCGGAAGAGATAGGAGAACTTAGAAGACAGTGGAATCGCCGCGCAGATCGGCGAGACAACAGTCCAAGCGGCGGAGGGCTTGGGGCAGACTTGCGGAAAGCCAATCTGATCGATGTCTTGAAGAACGAGCGAGTCGGGCTCGAGCAGTAACCACTCTTGATACTCTGGGCCGGAATTTAGGCCAATCGGGATGAGGATTACACCAATCGGGACGAGGATTATGCCAATCGGGATGAGGATTATGCCAATCGGGATAAGAAGAGAGGGAATGGGGAGAAATGGGGAACCAGTGGGAGGGGAGGGAGCGTGACGAAGACTCTCCGAAGGATAGCTTCCACAGCGGGCCGAGGGCGGAATTAGCGCCCGAGATTGGAGCGACATCGCCCGGAATAGCCGCGACGCGCACAGGATGGCTGGTGGCTCGGAAGTGGACTTCAGGTGGCAAGACGAACCGGGTCGGCAATCGGAGAGGATGCGGGGAACGCGCATGAAGGTGATCGTCTTCGGGCGGGCGGTGCTCCTCATGCAAGATGTCGCTACCGACGGACGCGGCAGAAACTGCTGGTGCGGTCGCAGTGTTCTGGTGGGGTGTCTGGAGGACAATACAGGCCATTGAGAGGGAGGAAGGTAGCGCGACAGCGATTGAGGCAAGGCTGAGTCGATATTGTGAATGCTTGAAGGCGGCCGTCCGCCGTTGCTCGTAGAGACATCTGGAGAATAACAGTGCATAGAAAGGGTGCAGACTATCGGGATAATCGGATATGAGAGAGTGGCGAGACATGTATTGAACGAAAGCAAACGCACGAGGAGCAGGTTTATGCGGACGTAGCACAGCATGGAGAAGTCGTCCGAGGACCGATGAATCTACTCGGGGGACATCGCCGTTGCCACGGTAGCTCCAAATCTCAACTTCGAAGACTGAGACTAGTGACCTCCGTGCAGTACTTGTGGCTGAAGATGTCGTGCTCCTTGATATTGATCCCACGAGCGAGGATGCAATCGAAGGCCGGAGCTTCTTCCTCACCTAAGTCTTAATGTGACCCAAAACGCACCGCCCAGAAGAGAAGTCAAAACACGACACAGAGAGACGGGTTCGATCACGCACCCGACCTGCCTTCGGGCGGTCCTGTCTTCGGTTTCGCCACGGAGCCGGCGGCCAAACAGGTCCATATAACGAGTCGGTATGATGTTGCGGACATTCATCTGTGCCCACTAAGTTCCAAAAAGCATGGTTGTGCATGGATGGCACCGGGGCAACGGGGTTGGTGCGGTGAGGTGGGTGTCAGGTGCGAACATGTCGAAGGGATGGCTGAGGTTAGATACAACTGATATGAAATTAACTCATTTCATGCACTACGACGACGTGAGCTTACAAATTCCGAGCACGAAAGCCGCGCGCTGGAGGCGAAAAGGTCATCAAAGTACCACTAGTAAGTTACACAGACGTATATATCAAGGACTGTCCGTACTATGAAACATCAAGGGGGCGGCATGCCGGGCAGGGGGGACAGGTAGACGTTGGAAGGTGTGCACGAAGGTGTCGACATAGAACTTGGCCGCTGCAGCCTGGATACGACTATACTGAAACGAATCACAATCGTCCAGGAGCTTCAACGCGCCGGCGAGCTCCGCCGGCTGCCTGGGCCAAGTCTGCTGCACGTCGAGGAGGGCTCGGAGGTGCGGGCGTCCCACCTCCCATCCAGGGTCGGCCGGCGAAAGCCACAAAAACGCCATCTTGTCCGACTCACTGGAGGGGAAGACGTTGAGCGCCGAGCATGGTGGGCCCCAGACCTCGGAGATGAGGCTCTCCCGAGTCCATTGTTCCACCTCGGGCCAGTTTCGGGACCCGACGACGACGGAGTCCAGGGCCAGCATCTCACACCGCCAATTGATCTCGTGGGCCTCCCAGACTAGCGTGCGCAGCAATTCGTCGTCCTGCAGGGTGTCTGCCTCTGTGACCTCCCGATCACCGAGCTTTGCAGTGATGCCCTTTTGGAAACGCGGTAGAGAAGCACCGGCAAAAATCGAAGCGATGTCCATCCGTTCCTTGGCTCTTTTGGCTTTCTTCTTCGTCTCGATGGGACGCTTGGTCGACGTAGAAGGGACCCCCGAAGAGCTGCCAATAGGGGATGATGAGGACCCAGACGACGAGCCTGCGAGCGCTGCGACGACCGGGATTACGGGGTCACGTTCGCCATACTCTCCCCACAGGAGGTCCCTCCATGCTTGGATGCCCAAAGGGGCGCCGTTGAGGGTCCTGTCGAACAGTCGGCGCCGGCAGAACTCGCCGACACGAAGCAACTGAATGAGATACCGGCTCCGCTTGGGGTCGCTGGGGGAGAACATATCCAGTCGGTCGAATATCCATGGCGGTGGCCAGTAGTACTTGGGGGACGTGGGTGGCTGCGGCAGGGTGCCGACCGAGCGGAGACCCTCTATCCAGCAGCTGCCGTGTGCAACCGAGAGCGACATGTAGAAGCGGCGGGTGGGCGGGACCTTCTCCACGGACCCAACGGAATGGGCGCCCAAGGGAGCGCGGGAAGGAGCGTTGTGCGCGACCTTACGAGGGGCAGATGCCGCCAGGAGGTGCGGGAGTGTCTGGGCAGCGCTCGGATCGCGCGCCCCAGGTGTGGAGGCGTCCGAGCCCCGCCACCGTTTCGCCTCACGGCCACCGCCTTCTTGTGTCGGCAGCTCATCCAGGCGTGAGCCGCCAAGGAGCTGGCGGTTCGTGGTGTTCACCATCATGCCCACCCATTCCCCGGGGACGTTCAACGTTCCGGCAAAGTCGCGCTGGGCCAGAACGAGCCTGGGAACGGACGGCTTGCGTGAAAACCAAAATGGAAGCCTCTTCACGGCCACGGATTCGTACACCGCGACGACGGCGCTGCGTTCCTGTTGCAGCCACACAGGTACTCCGGCGAGATGAAGTCGTTGTGCCACGCTAGGATCATTCGTGTAGGCACCGAGCACGTCGAGGATGTCGAGGCGGCAGTCTTGACCCCCAGTGAGTCTTGGCAACAGTGTCCGCAGGTATACGCGAAGACCCGCAAGTTCGAGGGTAAGGCGCTGAACGTGGGAGGCCAGAGAAAAGACGACCCCGCGGACGGCTGGGAGTAGTCGCAACCTGTCCATGGTGAGGCGCAAAGAGATGCGCAGGAACCTGTACTTGGCCTGGACGTCGGCGGGGCCGTTCTCACACTCCTCGCAGGACTTGACAACGCTATCGGCCGCAGCGAGCAGTTGTTCGAGGAGATATTTGTCCAGCTGCCCCACTTGGCCGAAGGTAGACTCGATGCGCGTCCAATCTCCCTTACTCCAGCCCATCCAGAGGATTACGTGTTTCGGGGCGTATACGCTGTCTTCCCGGGGGATGCATGCAAGGTGGGCGTAAGCAGGGTGGTACTGCTGAGGCCACCGAGATAACTCGTGGACGCCCCAGAGGCCGTCGTCGAAGGTGGTGATCTCTTGGAAGGCCAAGGCGAACTGTGGAACGAAGGCCTGATTCGGCGTGGTGAACATCGTACCGCTGCTGAACCCATCGGAAGCGACGTAGCCGTCGAATGGGCCGCAGTCTCCCAATCGAGGCCGATCTATGGAGGGCATGTCAGAATACATAGCATGTGAATACCGATGCACCAATGCGTCACATATCGGCCCGTACGGCCGTGCATGCACGCGATCAACCAACTCCAGGTCCAGCCTCACGTTGGCCGGGCCAACCGTTACGACGATCGTTGTACAAAGGATCACCAGCTTACCTTTGATGTCTCGGGTTACTGGCACAGGCGGCACGTACGGGACTAAAGGCGCATGACCAGGGCGAGGGTCAAGGAGGTGGACAGACATTGATATCAAGACCTGGGCGGCGGACATGGGCTTGATGAATACGCGTGGAGAAGCATTTTAACAACTTACCAGGGACAATTAATTATGAGACTGTGCAGCTGATTGAAAGGCTGCCGAACAAGACACCTTTACGCATGCATGGTGAGCGCAATCGAATACAACAGATGTCAAACATACGCACTACGCAGGTATATAAGGATGAGACGGGGAGGACACCAACTTGCAAATGCAAATCAGGGGAAGCGTCCTGACACGCAGCACAATAAGAATCCGGCCAGGACAAATGAACATATGCACTCACCTGCAACACCAATACTAAAAGAGACTGCGGGTTGGAGGACGCAAGGTGGATCGTGACCTTGGAGATGACCTATGCAGCATGTCATCAGACCGCATCCCGACCATCGAAGGCCCATGTCAACCTACTTTGAAGACGAACGGCAGGTATCCAGCAAGGCTCGGGATGACACGATATTGATCACGGTCTTGGAGACTTGGGACGATATTTTGTCAGCAAAGGGCACGGACGTGGCATAGAATAGGCATACGGACATCCAGTGACCAGGGAGGGGGCGGAAACTTGAAGGGACCTGACGGGACGGAGGAGAAAACGGTGCCCCTGGGGCGCCGACGTCTACAAGCAACAGTCGACTGTATAGCCGCTATTTTCCGCTTGGACGATGGGATGGAAGGGGCTGAAGGGGATGTTGGAAGCAGCGAAAGCGACGGTGTAGGTGCAGAGGTGGGAAGAAAGCGAGAAGGAGGGTGAAGGCGCTACGTGGCCGTGTGAACAAGACAGGAGCGTGTCAGTCATGTGATCGTACCACAGTCCAATCTCGGCCTGGTCCTGGTCCTGGTCCTGGTCCTGGTTCCCGTTCTCGTTCCCGTTCTCGTTCTCACTCCTATCTTGCTGCCTTCCGCCCTCTTCTGCTCGTCTTCCGTTCTCACGTGCAGCGCCGGTTATATAATCGTCTACGCACCACGAATCACTTGACCGTAGAACCTGGTTCTACGCCCGGTCATCCCTCGGATCCCCGCGTGTGTACCGGTCATACGATCGTGTGCTCGCCGCGAGTTACTTGGCCATAGAACCTGGTTCTACGCCTCTGTCGCTCGGATTCTATTCGTCTTGAAACATTGTCAACACCCATGCCCGTGCAAGATGCGCCGTGCGCCCTCAAGGGAACCTATCGCGCCCAGTCCATGTGCATGGACTGCTTCCGGGTTTTCCCTTACCTTCATAAACCAGGGAAGTCCAAGAAGACGGGCGATCATCGCAGGCTACAAGATGAGTTGCTGGACTCGTGCCGCTTCATCCGTACGTCCTCGTTCTTCGTGTTCCGGTTTGTAAAGTATTAAGACTGAGACAGATCTCCGGAGTATCATTGACGGAGAGCCATCATTCAACGTCCATGAGCATACTTCCCCTCTCGCGGACAATCGGCCTAGCTATCGACGCGTGTTCAATCGGAGATTGGACCAGGCGACATACGTCACAGACATCGTAAGTACCAATCTGTTCACCCCTTTGCGCCCTCTCAGTTGGATGATGCTCTCCCGGTTTTTTATGATAGAGAGTTGCTGCCAAGCATCTTCTCCCGCTTCTAATGGATGAGCGAGAACACATTTTCAACAACGACGCGTTGTTCCGCAAGCCCACCGTCTCCCACAGGGCCACCTGCGGTACGTTCATTATCCAAGCTTGCCAACTGAACTCTCATGACTGCGTCGTCGAAAGATGGGTGTGCTAGTGATATTCTGACTCGCACTTGGTTCTGTCTTGTGTGTGGGGCTGAACTTTGTGGGGAATGCTTCGAAGTGTTGGCACATACGTCTGCAGATGTAAGTCAATATGTTCTTAGAATGCCTGTTCACTCTATGACGAGCTTGGGTTCAGTTCTTAGATGCGAAGCTTTGTACTAGCGAAGGACTTCCGACACACACTCAAGCCACATTTCGTCCCTCGACACGGTTCTCAGTGGCGGAGCTGGACGGCATCATTCTTCAAATGAAACAAATCGTTGCGGCAGAGTGTGTCCACCACTTATTTGATAAGCAGAGCCATCTAATGACCCCGTTTCAGTTCCGGTCAGGATAACTGTGGACGACCGGGACGAGCTCTCGGCGAAGCTTTACATGTCCCCACATTCGAGGATGACAGACTTGACCCTGCTCTTTTTCACGCAACATGGGGTCGCAATATGCCGGTGGTTGTCAAAAACCTCGTTAATATTCAGGGCTCCTGGCATCCGGATATCTTCATTGAAGAATGCGGCAGCGATCAAGTTACGCCTATCGATTGTATCACTGACTCTGAGATAGAGCATCCTTGCACAATCGCAGATTACTTTCACGCTTTCAAGGAAGGCCAGTTCGAGAGCCCACGAAAACTCAAGGTTTGCTTGGTTTATTTGTTGCGTGGCCCGACATATTGAAGTTTTGATAGGATTGGCCTCCAGCGGAGTATTTCCGTACGAAGCTCCCTCAGTTCCACGAGAGCTTCGTGGGTGCGGTTCCTAGAGGTGCCTGGGATGTGGCTTTGCCATCAGGAGTACAAAATCTTGCAGCGTTTTATCCTTTGAATGGCAACACGCCAGACCTAGGTCCTTCTGCATGTTTCATCAAAACGGTGTTGCCGCTGATTGTATGTACAGGTCCGAAACTCTACATTGCAACTGGTGATCCCGGCAACTCTCACGGAACCACGAAGTTGCATTTAGATGTGACCGACGCAGTCAACATCCTCACGTATGTCACCCCCGATCCCGCCAGACCTGCGGCAATTTGGCATCTCTTCCCTCCCGAGTCTCTTCCTCATCTTCGCCAGTACCTGCCAACGACCTGCCAATGGTTAGAAGAAGACGGAGACCCCATTCATTCTCAGCAGATTTACGTCACTGAGGATATGTGCAAGGTCCTGGAATCTCAGTACAACGTTCATGTGGTCCGGATCGAGCAGCGTCTCTCCGACGCAGTTTTCATCCCAGCTGGATGGGCTCACCAGGTTTGTCATTCAACAACCTTCTTTGAATATCAACCTCATCCACTCGATGTTGGCAGGTTCTTAACGTCCAGAATGCGATCAAGATCGCTTGCGACTTTGTGTCTGTGCAAAACCTCAGTGTAACCGCAAGCCTCAGGTCTAAACAACGCGAGCATCGCATCAAGAGTGGTGGACATGGTGAAGACGTCTTGCAGCTCAATACACTTATGTGGCACGTGTGGCAGTCGCTGGCAGCTTACCCTCCGCCATTGTTGTCAACCACAGAAGTTAGAGAAGATGGGAATCAGGTGAGCAAAGGGTCATAGTCCAGCGGCTGAGGAACAGTAACTGATATGCACTAGCTGGCAGGTCAAGATGTATCAGGTCTCCACCCCGGTGGCAGTACGAGTATGAGCAAAAGGTCAACAGGCCCATCGTTCCGAAAGGACCGCCAGAGAACGAAGTCTCGCTCTCGCAAGAAGAACTTCATCATCCCGAACACCCACGAGTTTGATTGTTTCTATCCTGGCTGTAGCCGGGGTGGGTTCAACCGAGCAGGTTTTCTCTGCCACCTGTGAGTCACCTATGAATCGCGCATCCACTTCCACTTAAAGTACGCTTTGCAGCCGGGACATGCATAAGGATGCACTCAAGGAGGGGAGGGATACGAAGCCGCTGGTTCAAATCAAGAAGTACCCTACAGCGGATGAGTTCCTGTCAGCCTTGGAAGGCTGCGTGAAGTCAGCGTTCCGCGAATCTCTGAGAGCGCATCCCCGTTGAATGGACATATGAGTAGCTGACAATACATTCTTGGTTTGATTGGCCAGTGCCACATGATCTTTTGTGGGAAGTATATGTGTGTGTGTATGGGCCGGGTGGGCGTACCAGCTGCTTCTGGCTCTTCTAAACCTGTGCCGCGGCGTCAAGCGTGACCTCCAAGTCCAACGACGGCCGCGGCGACCGTCGCCACCGCTGCACCCTGGTGTCATCAATCTCAGCCAGGCCAGCCAAATAGCCAGATGACTTTGTTCTCGAAGCATGTGATCGTGGACTGGGCTACGCGCGGAACATTGTCAAACAAACAAGTGATCAAAACGATACAAGGAACTCATATTCGGACAGAAACAGATCGAGCAGCATGCTCTAAGTCTGTTGGGCCGTAAGACCGTTAAATCGCCGTTTCGCCGGTCCACGCTTGTCACGCTTGCCGAGGCGAACTCCTTCGATACGGGCGACGAGAGACCGTGCTGTACCCCAAACACGTTCAAGATGTGCTTCGAGGCACATCCTGGACACCCGTTCAACAAATCGGCAAGAGACGTATTTGTCAAGAGCTTCGTGGCCTGTTCTGATCACGGTTGCAAGGACGAGAAAGTAATCACGGAAAAATTTGTTCGGCATTTTCGAACCCTGAAGACGAATCTCCCTAGGCATGGCATTGATGAGGACGTCGACACGGAGCTAAATGGAGAAAACACGAAGGGAGACGAAGCAGACGACGAGGGGGAATCGAATGCGGGCAGACATGTCCAGACGAGATCGAAGTCGAAATAGGGTGTAGATACATGCGAGACGCATCAGGCAGATGCACCTATGATATGAGAAGGGAAAAGGGTGGAATTTCCAAGATCTTGAAAACATAAGGTAGAGACACTGGAAGCCCACGACGAGGAGGCCAATTCAGCGTCAGCGAGGTGCTGGTGGCTTCGTCGGCGGTGACTGTGGAGAGGCTGTGGGTGCCTACACTATTGCGAATGTACGCGGCGCCGTTCGGGTAGTAGTGGAGAGCGGTCAGAGCACAGTCGATGCGACGCGGCCCCCGGTAGTGATGCCGCCCGCTGACGAAGAGCCACCCTGTGCGTTTTGTTCCAATCGGGTGGCAGCAGTATCGGTAGGGGAGCGCGACCAGTGGCACTTGGGAGGGAACGGGGATTACGTTGGGTTGCCTTCGCCCCAGAATAGCATTTTCCGCCGTTGACGTGCATGGAGAATGGGTGGGGCTGATTTGGAGGTGGGATTGAGGCGGAGAACGGGCAGGTTCGCTGAATCGGGGAGGAGGTGGGCAGCCCGTATGACGACGGACGGGGTCTACCGGCGCGCGTCGACGTCGTGGAGCAGGCCGCGCATGTCGCCATCGTCAGGATGGTGCCGGAGGGACGACGCGGGCCATCGGGAGCGCGGCCGTCCGTGAACGCTCGGCCTGAAGTGACGGGGGACTCGAGGGGCGGGGCAGTGACTTGGGGGCGGGGCGTAGGCAGAGGGGTACCTGCTGTTGTTGTGGGTCTGCGACATGGAGCGTGATGGTCCAACACGGTCCGATGGTGAGGAGAGAATAGACACATTGTCTTCCTGAGGGCTATCGCGCTCGTCCTCTCCTGCACGGTGGCCACCCTCGTTGTAGACGACAGAGGCAGGGCCACCGTAAAAGCCGATTAGCGCAGACTTTGGGCAAGGACCAACTCGCACTTACTACTTCGCCTTAAATCTCGACTTCGACGACCGAGACTAGCGACCTCCGTTGGCTGGGATGTGGCCATTCCCCGCGTTCATGGGATTTCGTGAGGCCCTATAATTCGTGGAGCCAGGGTTCGGACGATCGTGGACAATCGGGTGTGAGAGGGACGAAGCCGGCGATAAATAAGAGCAAACGTACAGGGGCAGCGGTGGGCATACGACGGCGTCGCGAGGCCAGCGTCGTTGAGACCGACGGCAGGCGGGAGAAATCTTGAGCGCGTTGAGAGCGCACGAGCAGATAAAGGGCGGGCGAGCGGTGGACGCGTCCGTTTCAAGTCAAGTGGGTCGAGCAGTCGGCAGGGGTCTTAGGGCCTGGTCTCCCGTCAATGCTCGCTCGCGGATCGTCGAAAGCACGACGCACCTGTCTGTCGACCGACTCTCAGCCTCTGCCTTCACCCGTCACCCGTCATCCGTCGCCGTCTTCCACCCCGGTCTCGCGGTCTCTTGGTCTTGATGCAGCCCGAACGGCATGTTGCAGAGAGGCCGCCAAAGCAACCTCTCACCGCCGTGGTTCGGGGGCTCCGCTCATGGCGGGAGCCCTTGGCTCGAGGAACTCTCAGGTCGTGCGAAGCCGCCGTACCGTCTGCGCTCCGAGCACCGCTGAGAGGTCAGGACTGGACACCAGGTGTCCGCCGTCGCTCCCCTAGCTCGAGGAACTCTCAGGTCGTGCGTAGCCGCCGTACCGTCTGCGCTCCGAGCACCGCTGAGAGGTCAGGACTGGACACCAGGTGTCCGCCGTCGCTCCCCTAGCTCGAGGAACTCTCAGGTCGTGCGTAGCCGCCGTACCGTCTGCGCTCTAAGCTCCGGTGAGAGGTCAGGACTGGACACCAGGTGTCCGCCGTCGCTCCTGTGGCGTCTTCTGGGGAAATTGTGTGTGCCATGCGTGGCCGAGGGCGCGGGAGATGCATGCGATGTAGGTGGACAAGGTGTTGGGCGGTGTTGGGCGTGCGGAGACGTGGCGCTGGGAGAAAGAGGCGCGCGTTGATGAATATCGGATACACCCGGTCAAAAAAGTTGGTACCAGGAAAGCGCCCACTGCGAGCCTCGAACTAAGGGACTCCGCGGAGGAGCGCGAGGCAGCCGTGTCCAACACAGCCAAATGGCCATGCAAAGCCGCGGCCATGCCGGTACAGCTGGGCCTTCAACTTTTTCAACCATTGCATTGCTCAGAAGTGAAAACGGCCCCAGACCGCTGAACATCGAACAGAGCGCCCTCACTACATGGTCAGAAGCAATCACGTAAGGTACTTTCATGCTTCATGCTCGACGCAGGGCCGGTCCTCTCGTCCATGGCAACAAACCAAGACGGGGTCAGCACAAGGTACGAGCAAAGCCATCAGCACATGTTCTGCACTAACGGCCGCAAACTGAACACTACTTGTACCCCAACCTGACGAACAGAAGAAAGTGACGACTCTGATGAAGTAAAAAAGACCATAACCCACGACTTCTTCACTCTTCCACACCCGCTAACTACACGAACACCAGACCAGAAGGCACGAACACGGGGACGGGGATGAAGACGATGACAGTAGGCACTAGGCCAGACTCCTGCCACGGTCAGGCAAGCTCCCTGTCGGCAGGTGGAAACGATGCGTGTTATCAACCATGCTACACATCAAGCGAAGAGAAGAAACACTTGCCAGTGTCCTCAGCAGTGCAAATACCTCTCTGTCCCTGACCCCTAATTTCTCCATCGGCCAGGTGCGCCCGCAAAGTTAGCTCGTACTTGTTCAGCCACGTCGTGATGGAGTCGACCGAACGGAGAACTTCCGCGCAGAGGTTGTCGGAGACATTGCTGTCACATTCGTTCTCGAGGCTGGGGTGGATGGCGACGTGGAGTTTATTGAACGCATCCTTGGCAATCGCCGTCTCCTTCTGCATGATTCGGAGAAACTTGAGCGAGTCGTCGTCCATGGTAGTTCTGACGCAAGATATGAACTGGGTGGCAGCTGGCATCCCAAACTTGTCCATGACGTCGAAGCCTGTGAGGTAGACTTCATAAATAAGGTCGACGCTGTGTTGTAGTGGACTCAGTCATCGCACAAGTCAGACGACTACACACATACCTCATAGCAATGAATGCGGTGTTCTCCAAGGACCGGCGCAAAGACGAACAAGCGCGTCCAATCCTAGGCTTCAGCTGTAACCCAGGCAACTGCAGTGACGGCGATGTGGCCAACTTGTCCGCCTGGCAGACCGTAAAATCAAGACTATCCTCGGAAGGCCAACCGTCTATGACGCGCTTCAGGGGAGTGACCCGTGGGCTGTGAAGGGCGACCAAAGGGGCGGGTGTGGAAGGGAGGAGCTCCAACGATCCGCAGAACGGCTGCGGTCGACCGAAGACAACGAGAGAGCACTGCGACCAACCGGGGAAAACGACAGAGCAGAATGAAGCTACAAGGGCGTTGTTGACGGAGGCAAGAACGGCGTTTTCGTGAGGGTTCTGGGGGTGCTTGAGGAGAAAGAACCGGAAACGGACGTAGGGTACGAGGATGTAGATGAAGGGGGAGAGAAGCGTCAAGACAACTGCCATGACACGCCACAGTTTCATGCTGCTGTCATCACGTTGAACCGCATGAGTGACTGTATTCGTGGGTAAATAAAAGATCGACGCACCTGCTAACTCGATGGACGGTAGCGTCGAGATTGGGGAAGCACGGTTTGAGAGCAATAGGGGCAGAAGTGGGAGATGGGACGAGCATAAACGGGCGGCGTGGCTGATGTATATACGTGTTCCAGAACAAAGGGATCTTGCATCTTGCTCGGGTGATGTGACGACCATGAGGCCAGTGGCACTTCGCGCCTCGTCCCGCTGGGCAAGACTTAGATTCGGTACTTCAAAAGGAGGGCGTATACATACAATGCATGGAAAACAACACTCTCGGAGTTGGTCTGCAGACGAAGAACCATGGTCTCCGCGCCCGGACCTGACGAAGCCCCAAGCAGCAGTGCGTTGACGTCGCGGAGCTGGCTGCGCATGCCGCGATCCTCGCGAGGGTGCCGGAGAGACAGCGCCGGCCGTCGGGGGGAAGACAGTGAACCAGTGATCGAGAGCGCGGCGGTCTCGAAACCGCACATGGCCGGGATGTGGTCATTCCCTCGAGTTCATGGGATTTCGTGAGGCCCTATAATTCGTGGAGCCAGGGTTCGGACGATCGTGGACAATCGGGTGTGAGAGGGACGAAGCCGCGATAAATAAGAGCAAACGTACAGGGGCAGCGGTGGGCATACGACGGCGTCGCGAGGCCAGCGTCGTTGAGACCGACGGCAGGCGGGAGAAATCTTGAGCGCGTTGAGAGCGCACGAGCAGATAAAGGCGGGCGAGCGGTGGACGCGTCCGTTTCAAGTCAAGTGGGTCGAGCAGTCGGCAGGGGTCTTAGGGCCTGGTCTCCCGTCAATGCTCGCTCGCGGATCGTCGAAAGCACGACGCACCTGTCTGTCGACCGACTCTCAGCCTCTGCCTTCACCCGTCATCCGTCGTCCGTCGTCCGTCGTCCGTCGCCGTCTCCCACCCCGGTCTCGTGGTCTTGTGGTCTTGATGCAGCCCAAACGGCATGTGGCAAAGAGGCCGCCAGAGCAACCTCTCACCGCCGTGGTCCGGGGGCTCCGCTCATGGCGGGAGCCCTTGGCTCGAGGAACTCTCAGGTCGTGCGAAGCCGCCGTACCGTCTGCGCTCCGAGCACCGCTGAGAGGTCAGGACTGGACACCAGGTGTCCGCCGTCGCTCCCCTAGCTCGAGGAACTCTCAGGTCGTGCGTAGCCGCCGTACCGTCTGCGCTCTAAGCTCCGGTGAGAGGTCAGGACTGGACACCAGGTGTCCGCCGTCGCTCCCGGGGCGTCGTCTGGGGGAATTTTGTGTGTCATGCGTGGCTGAGGGCGAAAGGCGGACCACCACCATGGTGGCAGGAATGAGAGCAAAGCAGCCGCCCACGAAGCTGTATCGCATTATGTAGCGGAAGCGCGCAGCTGAAGCGCACGGAACGTTGTACTACCGTCTGAACGCGAGTGCAGAGAAGCTGGGTGGATGCGACAAGCTGCTTATCATGCCCGGGATCAAAGGTGCAGGAGGAGAACGCCGGCATTGCGGTGGACGATTTGGGGGCGAGCAATCGTGTCATCGTCAGACCTCCTAGTAGGCCGGTCATTGTGCGACAAGAGCTCAAGCCTTGCGCACGGCAACCATGAGGGAACATGTTGCGAAGGAAGGGCGGGAATACATTGGTAAGATAGGGAAGGGACGAGACAAGCGCACGTTCTAAATATTCATTGCCCCTCAGACGAAACCCCCATACGTTGACTACGCTTCTCTCGCCCACGATACGTTTGCACGGTTTCCTTGGTGACCCAGGACGGTTCTCCTTTTGAGTTGATCGACAGGATGTACTTCTCCAGGTATGGATGGGCATGCCCGCTTTGTACTGGTATCCATCGTCGGATGAAAGGCAACTGATCAGGAGCTGCACACAACCATAGCTGCCGCCCGCCGTCACTAGAGCAGTGCAGGTATACGTCGTTGAGGTGCATCTGTGGCAATACGGGGGGATTCTGGACTGGACGTTCGCAGAAGGATTTGTACCAAACTGTCTTCTCGCCACGCAGCTTCATTCCCCGCATTGCACGCTCACAACGGGTCACCGACACCCGAACATCTCCAGAACTAGTAGGACACGCAGGATAGAACGTAATTCAGAAAACGGAGAATAGTGTCTTTTTGGTACCGTACCTGACTGTAGCTACCACATAATCCGAGGTCTCTCCAGAATCCCCGATAGTAGCGGTGTTGCTGATGTCTTTCTTGGATACGCCATCATTGGAAGGCCGAGGGGCACGACGCTCCGTCGAAGGAGGCTTTTCCAGGGGTGGCGGAGACTGACGATGGCGCACGTCCTCACTGACCAGCGTGGTAAATTCTGCAGACCCACCACGTAAAACAGAGGAAACACGACGAGTTGGTGTGAGAGACTTACCGACGGGAGTCTCGGACACGCTATGAGAAGTATTTGATATCGGGAGTGCCTGGAATTCAGACAATGTGGTGGATGTCGAATGTGAATGAGACTGAGTGGCTCGCCCAGCGGGAGCGTTGGAAGAGCGAAGATCCATTGGTGAACCCCCACCATTATCCTGGAGTATGGAGTCAGCCGGCATGCCAAAACGATGGCATCAATACTCACAGATGAAAACAGCGAAGAGTAATTAGAGCCTGATATTGGGAGGTCTCGATGCCTCAGAATGATTGGTAGATCCCTTGATTGATCAAGATGTGTAGAGGTCGAAGCGGGGAGGGGATTTGCCCAGATAGTGACAACATTGTCACTGCGAGACATTGGCAGGGCGAACGAGAGGGGCCAGGGGAGGTGAAACTGAGGATTCAAAGGGGAGAGCACAGATTGTTGGAGACTACGAGGGGACAAAGACAGAACTAGTGGCACAGTTCTCACGGCCCGTCAAACTTGAGATGCAAAGTTGACGGTTTGGGTGTAGATACTAGTTTGCATGCATCACCATGGGTATTCACACACAAGCTTGGGCCGCAACTGGATGAAGGAATCGTTGCGCTTTGCTGTTAACACCTGGCAGTTTTCTTATCTGAACCGCAACTCCCTTGCGGCCTGACCGTTACAAAGTCAACGGCTCGGTGGCATGCCCGGGAGTCCATATGAGACTAGGGTCGCTCGAAAGGCTTGGGGTGCCTACGCGGACAAGTACAAGGATGTGCGGTCTCGGCTCATACCAGTTAGCTCCGTCTTTACTAGATTCAATAGTCGGTGTATACTAGACCATACTAGGCGTGGGACTACACAATCTAGCGCTTCCCAGTACGCACCCGTCCCACTGGCAGTTCTCGGCTCACCCCCCATATTATCTTGTGCTATCTCTGCTCTCAGGCTAGCTTGTTCGTACTCCCTACACAGCACTATACGGCATAATTCGGTGTAACTAGATGAGCTTGCCACATAGATCTAGCCTCAGGAAACGCTAAAACCCCCGACCTCCGGGTAGTATCGCCCATAGGAAACGGCCATCTCCAAAGCATCCGGCGCGTGCTGTAGGCATGGTCCGAGCGGGGAACGGGGCTAGTGCGTCAGTGGAGGGTGCACAGACCATCGCCCGGTGACGCTCAATGTACAAGGACGCCCGGCTGAAGCCACACGAGCCCGAGGTGGTGTTGAGCCCCAGTGAGAACGATCCCTATCCCGAGCTATATGGAGCTATCCCCACCTATCTTGACCAATTGGTCCGACATTTAGTGACAGTGCTCTCGAGATCCGTCGCGCCGTGCCCGCGCACTGGGCGCACTCGGTGGAGACGTTGACCAGTGGGGACGATAATCTACTCGCACCTGCAGATCGCCTCGAAGCGGCTGATGGTATACTGTGAACTCCGTTCTGTTCTGTATTGGCATTTTGAATGTGCGGCTGAAGATGGGAGTGGGCAGGAGGGCGTCTGGACTCTACCTTCTGGGGGGGAAGCGCCTTATGGAGGTGTTCTGCAGGAGGGGGTGGGCAGTAGTCTCCGCCGTCTGCGTTCTCACGACGCTGGCTGTCTTCTTTCTTCAGTTACGCAGATCCCGCCGGAATGCCGCGGCAGCCCCAGGACGGGACAGCGCCAAACGAACCGTCCACGGTGCAGCCCGTACGGAAGACAACGAGTTCGACGACGCGCTCACTCGTCGGCTCCGGTGACTCCCGGTTACAAATGCGTTCGCGGAGCCTCTAGGGAGCCCCGGTGAGCCGGCGCAGACGTTCGCGCAGACATTCAGGGGGCGGGCCCACCTTCCTCTTTGACTCCGTCCTCGAGCTCGCGATGGGCTTGGGCTTGGGCTTGGGCTTGGGCGGCGGTGGCGGTGGCGGGCAGGTGGGGTGATGTTCGCGGCGGAGCTGATGGCGTTCTTGAACGCGAACCCGGTGGGGCTCAACGTTTGAACGTTGACGTTGAAACTTCCGAGAGCGGTGACAGCGCAGGGACGCTCTCGGCGGCGTTGAGGCTCACTCAGAATGGAAATGCCTGACAGCACAGTACTAGCCCCGCCCAAGGCGCCCATGATCCTCAGGGTGAACCGCGGCGCGGTGCGGCTCTGGAGCAACTCGGGGTTTGATTTGAGTTCCACGTCTGTCTGGCTCGTCTTCAGCCCCTCAGCGTTTCAGTCCAGTGTCATTATTGCCCGGGCACCCGCTGGTCATCCGCAGCATCGCCGTCGTCCTATCAGCTCATTAACACTCCGTTCCAACCCATCTCCGTGATCCTCAGGCCTATTGTCTACCTGGTGGTATATATTCACGCGATTCCTGATCCGAGGCAGCCCAAGTTGCTAGCACCTGCCTGAACGCAGGGAGTGAATTGGAGTATAAATTGGTCGTTCACATTAGGCGTGTTCTACAACTAAGTGGAGGTGAAGGTGGGATAACACACTGCAAGCTGTGAACGGTCAAAGGGCTCGACCACCGCAATTCTACAAATCGTGTGTTCAACAATTGCGTGAATCGTGAAGAGGCTGAAAGATTCGCCGTGAGCTTTTCTCCAGGCCGTCGCGGCGCATACGCAGTCAGGAAGTACAATGGGGTTGGTTACCAACCATACCAGCGAAAAAATGGCGCATATGACGGCAGCCTGAAAGTGTACACGTGCCATGTCAGTTCAAGAAGGTATATGGTAGACGCCTTGTATCGGCACCTTCAAAAGGACGAGTTTCGTCGAAGCCG